TTTTTTTTTTTTTTTTTTTTTTTGGTAAAATGCAGGTTAGAACTGGTGGCTTTTCGGACATCTTACATTATGAAGACAAAGGTTCTTGTACCTGAAATCTTGAATCTCAATGTCCTGAGCTTCAAGCTTAGACTCCTTTCCATTTCAAACAAAATCTAGGTAAAGATATGGTACTTGTGCAGAATCTTTTTACTAAGAAATCTTTTTTACTATCAAGCTGAACATTCAGGGATTTGAAGCAAGTAGGGTCAAAAGGCGAGCACATCCAAAGCTCATTTATGCATTACCAAAAAGTCACTAAGGAGTATCTTTCTGCCCTGTTCCTTTTAAAGAAGCAGCCATTATACCAAAGCATGAGGTTGAGAGAGTAAAAGTGACAGAGCTGTTGCACTGCACATTTTTAGCAGCATGAGTTAGGATGGTCCCTTCACCCTTGGGTGGCAATGTCATGAGTGAATATTGCAAGGAAAGACAAATTAGAGCTAGTCATATCTTAATTGTCCCCTAAAGGAATTGAATATGTATCATATAACATTTTCTTAAATCTCTGTGTTATGAAAATGGTAATGATTATTCACTCAAAAGCTCCTAAATGCCAAGTGTTAAGATGCAGCATTTATTTGCACTTCTGTACACGAACCTGTTTGTGTATCTATATATGGTTGTATCTAGATATAGATTTAAAGTGATACCAGCCTTAACTACAAGATATGTCTCCCACAGACTTTTAGATGATTAAGTCAGGTTGTTTTAGCTATCCTGAATCTGTACTTTTAAATACAGACTACAGACTTTTGAATAAGGAAAAAGTAGTTTGGTTAATTTTAGAAATCTTTGGGTTTTGCTTAAAGTAAATGTTCTGTTCATAATACAGTTTTGAAACTTCTCTGTCTCAGTGTTCCCAGCCTTTTTGTAACCCAGCTTCACACTTGAGAAAATTGTCAGTGATTCATTTTTCTCTGGGAAACTGGTAATTCCTTCCTTCCAAATCAGGAGCCTTAAAGAAATATTTTTAAACTGATTTGAAAAATTAATTGTATAACGCAATGCATTGCCTGCCTGCATTGCAGACACAAGGGGTGTACCTTGCCAGCAGTCCTTGAAGGTGGAAAGAAGATAAAGTGATTTAGATGATGCTTGGGGAATGGCCTTTAGAGTGTGAGATGGGTTGACAGTGAAGGAGCTGTGAGAGCTTTTGGATGTCTGGTTGCCTTTTGAAAAGAGCTGTCTAACCTGAGGTATTTTGGAGTACGCTGGGAGTTAAGAAGAAATGTGTGCAGATGCTCAAGAGACTGCAGACTGACTGACTGTTTTGAAGATGGGAAGAGTAGACAGTGTTGAGATTTGAGTGGTGTGATCATCAGCAGAGCTGTCCACAGCTGAAGTTGTGGTCGGATTAGGGGATTACTCTGGGGAGATAATGCACAGGGACCGACCGCAGTCACTAGGGCCTATGTGTCTTGCGTGATGCTGGTGTCTCTAAGAGACAGGGTCCTGGGATGATACTGTAATACAACACTGAATTGAAAGGTCTGTGATGAGGACAGAGACAGAAGAGGATTGAATTGCTGCAAAGGCTTACATAAGAAGTGGTAGTAGAATATAAAGCTTCTGTTTCTAGCCCTGATCAGATGTAGCATTACCTCTTACACCTTTGGTAGAAGACTAAAAATTGAACCACAAAAACCTATCAGAACATCTCTTATATGTGAAGAGAGAAGAATTTGGTATTGAAGAATATTGGTAGCTGTTAATCTTTTAATTTAGTTTGGGCAGGTGTGTTGAAAGTGTTCAGAAATTTAGCACTGTCTAGGTAAGTCCCAGTAAAGACTGGTTAGGAGGTGGGGTGCTGGCAAAGCTGTCAACATGTGTGCTAATGTATCTTATCAGCTGGTGCTGTGACAGAGCATATGCTTAGGGTCAGTGCTGCTGCGACATGAATGTATTGCACATCACGGTAGATACCTATATGCAGTGTGGTAAGACCAGAATTTATGTGGAAAGTGTAGCTTTTTATTTAAGCTACAAAATAAAACCAAATAGTAAATTTATAGACAAATAAAGGGGAGGATGGGAGTAAGGAAGTACATAAGTGCAACTATGTAAAGATCGCTCTGCCTTTTAAGAATGCTGCTATTTTCACATCTAGGTCGATCTTCACGCGTTCTCCTAGGTTAATGATCGAAGAAGTGAGTTAGTTCATTTTTGTTGTTGATTGTGGCGTAACATTATCTAATCACCATTAACAAATGAGATAATGGATTGGTAATTTTTTTGTTGCACATCTTGTTCAAGTTGCTTAGCAGTTGTGGGAAAAATTAAACAGACTCAGTAAGGAGAATTTAAGCAATTATGACCCTATTTTCAATAAATGTTAAAGCTCACACTGCGTGCAAGGGTTCAAACCGCAGCAGAAATCCTGTATACCCCCTACTGCATGTCAGAGATGATATTTGATATATACTAAGTTTACCTGGTTTTTATTTTAGATATGACAGTGATGGTTGGTGTCCGCCTTTGCCAGTTCAGACCTACCTACATCAGGGCATGGAGGATGAGCTTGAAGAAGACGATGATCGTGTTCCCACACCTCCTGTCCGAGGAGTAGCTTCATCACCTGCGATCTCCTTTGGGCAACAGTCAACTGCAACCCTCACGCCTTCTCCACGAGAGGAGATGCAGCCAATGCTTCAAGCCCACCTTGATGAATTAACTAGGGCTTACCAGTTTGATATAGCAAAGCAGACATGGTAAATGTTGGAAGGGGGCACCTGCGGTCTGGGAAATGAAAGCATAATAATAATAATTTATTCCTCGATGACATGAATATCAACTGTGTTCAACAACATTTCAGTAATGATTCCAAAGCAGTAAAATGGAAGAAGAAATAGCAAAACTGTATCTACAGTGTGAAGGCCTTAAACATTAGTAGGTGGTTTTTAAACCATAGTGCTTGGTAATATGTTAATTCTTGGCTAAAACCATATAAAAATAATATTGCTCTGCAGTTTTACGTATATTCAACTAAGTAGTTAACGCCCACCTGCTGATGACTTTTATACAGTTCAGAGTACTCTCTTTTCAGGCTAGCAAAATATATGAATTTTTTAGGATTTTCAAAAATATTGAAGTTCTAAATTTCTGATTAAAAATAATGCTAGACACCTGAAATAGCAATGTAGCAGCTTTTACCCTTTGTTACATGAGAATGAAGCATTTGCATCTCTGACTGTAGTTTGAAATACCATGAAAATTTCTGATTCATAGGGAAAAACCCCGAAACAGCAGGAAGGAAGTTGTTAGAATTTACAAAATGGATCTAGCGTTTTAGAGTGCTTTATGCCTATTTAAAGGAAGAGCAAGCAAATACCACAGTAACATTTCCCCTGCAAAACAAACAGAAGCAATTTCTTCAGGGACTGAAAAAGAACTTGTCAACTGCACCAGGCTGGGGATACGGTGAAGGTCAGTTGCTTTCTGGATGTTCCCTAAGCGGCAGTTGTCCTTTTACAACTTTTCTATCCAGACAAAGCCTGTGAATCTCAGAGGAGAGGAGCAGAGCTTGTTACTGAATGGCGCACTGCCAGCAAAGAAGCAGCCTTTCTTCGCTGGTAAATAAAGCCACAAAGTTATTCAGCTTGAGCTACCATAAATAGATCAGGCAGGTAGGCAGGTGGTGCCAAATCAAAGCCAGCTGTTTTCCCTGGCGACCGTCGAAGCCTCGAGGCTTGTCTGCAATCTGCACTCAAATCAACAGGGTACTTTGGTCCCGCTGCAGTGCCACGCTGCCAAGCACGGACCCCGGCCTGCCTGTGGGACAGACCCAAATCCCAGGCAGCAGCTAGACCTGGCCTATTGAAGGTAGCTGACTTCTGAGCCAGCACACAGATGCTTACCCTGTCTGTACAGTCAATCGCTGCTGCATTTTGCAGCTGTTACCCTTTCTATGCCCTACAAACGGTGAGTGCCAGTCTGGGAGTGGATAGCATAGTAGGACTCTGTAGCAAAGCCTCTTGCAGCTGACAGGAAAGGTCTTGCTCCCTTTTTGGAGAAATGAAAATTGATTGGGAATTTTCCTAATGTGCATAGGAATATACAGATTTTAATGTTGCTGTTGTGTAAGGTCACAGTAAAAGAAGGGTAGACATGGTTTAGTGGTGGACTTGGCAGTGCTAGGTTAACGGTTGGACTCGATGATCTTAAGGGTCTTTTCCAACCTTAACGATTCTCTGATTCTATGATTCTAATTGAGCATGAAACTGAAAAAAATACAGAGGAGATAAACTGTGTTTTCATACTAAGACCTTATAGCAGGTATTGGAGTAAATATTGAGGGTTGCAAATACAAATGATTTTTGCAGTAGTTGTGACATGGAATTGTTTAATGCTTTGAAAATGTTTGGCTGGATACATACCATGCTGTTCAGCAAATGCTGTTCAGAGTCAGTGGAAAGTCCTCCGTTGTCTTTTAAGTGGGAAGGAGGAGTTCTTGGTTTTCTTTTCACAAAGTTAACCTGTCCAGTGTAGGGGCGGGGGGGAACAAAACAACAAGATGAGACCTGTCAGATAGATTACTATAGGAGTAATAGAAGAGAAATATAGAGACCAGACAACTAGAAATTTAAGAAAGAGCACATTAAAGATTACTGGAAAAGTACATAATCATTATGGCCTTGATCCAGCAAATCACTTAAGTATATGCTTAACTACAAGTACATGAGAAATTGACTTCAATTGTTCTATCACATGCTTAACATTAAGCATACACTTAAGTATTTTGCTTGATTGGGAGCTAATCACACTGTTTATTGAGGGTTAGTTAGATGGTGGTGCCCTTTAGCACGGTGTTTTGAACACTGCATAGCTAAGAACCTGGTGTCCAGACAGAAAAATATTCAAGAACTGCCAGTCAGAAGGGGGTTGTATATCAGAAGGGGAAGCATTTTTCTGCAAATAAGCTTCAGAATAAGCAGTAATTTAAAACCTACACTAAGGTGGAGAGAGATGCCAGTGGTACATAACATGTACAGTGACATTCTCAGATCCGAGAGAGTTACATTATGAAAAAGAAAAAGCTATTTGAATAAAGAGAATTACTGCACTTATCAAGTATAGACAATAATACAGCACAAAGTTTTCATTTAAAATATATTAGAGCTAGGAAACTAAACAGGTGACAGTTGTAATTTTTTCTGTTATGCTGATGTCCAAGCAAGAGACCAGCAGAATCCTGGATCCCGTCCAGAGCGCTGCCGATTCGAATCAGGTCACGGCACCTCATGAACAGCCACCCAAGGATTCCCACATGCTTAAGTTAGCAATTTCAAGCATGGTACATGCTCTTATGCCAAGGCCAGTCATGCCTGGATCCCCTGGCACAGCTTGCTGTGTACCTGTACTGCTGTGGAGAATGCTGCATTGAAAGCTGATGGTTGTTCTTTTCCTCTCTAGCCTCTCAGAGACCACGCAAATGAAACTCCAAGTCCCGTGCTTGCCTTTGGCCATTTAGCTATCCTGTGGGTGTTTTTCATCTTTGTTTTTCTTTTTTTAATTGTGATTGCTGCATGCAGTAATTTCACACATGCACGCCCTAATACTGCTGCAATTAAATCGGTTAAACTACTTGGAATAAAGCAAAATAAAAAGGCCTCGCTGATAATGGGTTCATTGGACTTCAAAATTTCTTCTGTCCTACTGGTCGTTTCCCCCTCTTTAGGGTGAGTTCTACTTAAGGGCACTGAGTCTGTTTAAGCAGAAGGAGCGAAATTTAATTTTGGCTCAACGTGTGATTTGCAAGGTGGAATATTGGGTGAGACATTTATACACTAGGTTGGGATTCAGAATTGTGCTTTTCCATGGGCTTCCTACCTGATTTTATGTAGCTTCTGTGTATGTTGTTCCTCATCTGTAAAAAGACAATCTTGACCTTCCCCGTCTTACAGAAAGGGAAGTATATTTAAGACTGGAAAGTGCACAGGTGCTCTGGTATTAGAAGCTGTGGTGAATAACTGGACTGATTTTTCTTGAGTTTGGCCTAACAAGCACGTTTTTTAAATCTACTTAAGGACTTATTGAAAGGCTTCTATTGACCATGGGGTACAAAGTCTCACCCATTCTGATGACGTTTTCCTGTTTGTTTGTGTAGGCACATCCAAAGCAATACACAACCTCCTCAGGCGCCAGTTCCACCCCTAGGATATGTATCTGGAAACCTTATTTCAGATTTGGAAACAGATGTTCCAGATGATGAGGAGGAGGAGGACGATATTGAAGAAGAAACTGTAGAAATCAGTAGACCGCTAAGAGGTCTAGAGCATACTCCAGGCTCCAGTATGGACAATCTAGACAGCTCTGTGACAGGTAACCAAACACAGTTAACAGTGACACCAATTTGTTCCTGGCAGTAAAATACATCATCAGTCAAACACTTTCTAAGTGAAAATTTATTCCACTCTATTTCTGTAACATTTAAAATGTGTTAATATTAAACACTGAAGTTAAAGAAGGATTTGAAAATACTTTGCTGCAAAATGATAAGAAAATTCATGAATTTTAAAAAGCTTTAAAGACTTGAAAGAAAACTCAATTATATCCTAGCTTTCATGAAAAGTTCACTCTACTGGAGAAGCAAGCCAGTTACATAAAAAGGAGGGGGAAAACCTTGGCTTAGGAATATATATATTTCATAAATCAGGAGCAGCATAAAAATGTTATCTTAAAACACTTTTAGATATTTTGCTGGGTAAATGCTTTCACAGATGAACACAGGGAAGTTAAAAGACTTCAGAATAAGTGTGGTTAGATCAGCACAACATGTATTTGTAGACTAAATACACCATTTATGTAGGAAAATGTGTATTTTGAACCTACTTTGTATTGCTGAATTTAGTAATTGTTCCTTTTCAGTGAAGACATTTAATTATTCTGATACTCATTCCTTCACTGCTTCTCGCCCTTTGCATGCTTTGGAAAGTTACAACAGGGAGCATCAAAGGGGACCTAGAAAGGCATGCTAAACTAATGCACAGAATCTGAATGAATAAAATTGCTGTTGATGAAATGTAGGCAGTGAAAGATATTTTTTGAAAAATACAGATTTTATATGGATGTAAAAAACTTTTTGTAGATATCAGCATATTTCCCTTTAGGTTAAACTTGGACCTCTATATACTGTACTGTATCCGTAATGTACAGCTTTATGGGAGACCCAAATGTACATAGTGTCCATAGTTCATAAAAGCTAGTAGGTGCTTCTTCAGTCTTTGATCTCTGCAGAAGAACATGGATTGTTAGTTGTGCTTTAAGGGAGACTTGCTCAGTACAAATTACTACCATAGCACTGCTGAATTTCACCTCGTTGTTCTGGACCTTTGAAATTCCAAGGATTTTGCACCCTTACTTAAACGTTGCTATTCTGAAAACACTGCAGGAATATGACAGTGATGGAGCATCAATACCTATAATTTTCTTCCTTTTCCTTTGTTGAATTAAATAGAGTGTAGCTTAATCCCACTCTCCAGGTTTTCCTTCACCCTAGGGCCAGACTGCTTGCCAATCTAATTAAGATTTAAGAATTGTATCTCTGCTGCTGTGATTTGAAATCCAGATCCAACTGAAGGCCGTAGAGTTAAAGTTTAAATCCCTGAATTGAGAAGGTTAACTTATTAGTGCATGAGTATGTTAAGTCACTTTGCTTGAATTTCTAGTGTAATCTCCTTCAGGCTATAATTCTGCATATTTTTGCATATCTCACTAATGGCTCAGAAGCCTTTCCATTAGGAATGCAGTAAGGGGTTTGCACTGGTAATACAGAAATAAATAAATTTTAAAAAAATCAGGCGGCTATATATTTTCTATTTGGTATGTATTAATATGTCAATGTTGATATATCTGTAAATCAGAAGATGAATGTTTTTCACATTTGCATTTTCACCTCATATGTTGGACCACCCTACATAGCACAAAGTAAGGAATAGCTACATTTCTGCTCTAATTTGTAGATTTCTGTGGTTACTACAATTTATCCTTTTATGAATAACATTCAAGCTTGTTCTAATAGTTATAAATCTTGTTTAATTATTGGAGTGTTGAATGTTTAATTGTTGGAGTGTTAAAAACTTCCTGGTGTACTTTTCTGGAAGAAATTGGGCAGAACCTCGTAATGTAGACTGGGAGTGTAATAAAGGTGATCTCCGTGCACTCCCACTCATGTCCACCACTATCTTGATGCGGCCTCATCCAGCTGAAAACTAAGGTTTTTCTTTTGCTTTTTCTTGTTTAATTACTAGCTGGACTGGTTCCTTGATCTGGCTCACCACATGGCAAGGTGTTTGCCAGCACTGCAGGAAGGGAATGTGCAGCTGGAAGGGAAGCAAAATGACAGACTGCCCCTACAGCGTATAGCCAAGACTTAGATTCACTTAAAACAATCACGGAACTATAGCCTTACAAAAATACACCCAGAGCGTCAGTCTAAATGATCTGTAAAATGGCAAACTCTCCGAATAACAACAGTGCTACTATTTTCCTTCGTTACTATATGGGTAAAACTTCGATTTTCTGAGGGCTTGTTTTGGGCTTGTTTTTTTCTAAGGGTGAAAGGAAATTGCTTATTATACTTGGGCAAATTGTTTCAAAAGAGAATTTTAATTTTTGTGTATCTGTTTCTGTTAACTCTTCCAGGCTGCATTTACTGGTGTTAAGGAGGGTATGTGACAAATTGCGTTCATTGTTTCTAAACTGTTTCTCATTCTTTAATTTGATTGCTTTTAGAATACTGCAGAACAACTAAGTTGTTCTTTCTTGCACTGAGAATATATAAGCTACTTCCTTTCATAGGGCTTTTGGTGACTTAAACCAGCATTTTCCTAGGAATTTATATACCGCATTTTCACTTGTTTAAACATTATATTAAAAAATGGAGGCAAACGAGAACAGCTGACCCAGATGAAGCAATATTTCCGTTCTTTTTGAAGCGCACCCTTTGAGTTCAGTGTTTGTGAGAAATCTAAATTGACATCCTTTGGTCAAGAGTTCCTCCAAATAGAGTTGCTGTACAGTGAGCAGGGCGAGTTTCCTCACCCTGTACTGTTAGCATGGCTCAGCGATGACTTGAAGATACCCACTCTCGGAGTGAAATGGTACTTTGTTCTTTATGGCTGAGCTGAGACCGAGGTTTTCATCCAATGCCAAATGTGGGATTCTCTGAGGGGAAACTGGCGCTGTGTGAGCTGAGCTCAAACTGCTAAATTCCTCTGAAACCACAGCGTTGCTCCTTTAAACTGTTTAAAAGTCAGGTTGTCTTCCAGGCTCTTGAGTTTTAGTTACAGCTAACTGAAGATTCAGACAAGGATTTAATCTGTGCTGTTAAGCTTTTCTCTTTGCAGGTGGCAGAGACATAATGTTGACATGTATAATAAAGTAAAAAGAAAGGAGGAGTGCACAGTAACTATGTCTTAACATTTTCCAGATATTGCAAAGAAAAGTCGAGGAGGGAGGTTTAGATTTGAACATTTGTGGGACGGAATACGAAATCAAAGCCAGAGTTTTGCTTCATTCCCAGCATGGTTTGTTAGGATACTGAGTTACTGATTCTGCTCTCTTGAATTTTAATTCACAATTATTCAGGGTGATTTTCGCTTTCAGAGACACAAGGAAATATGTTTTTTTCTTTTCCTTATGTTTAATGTTTGCCTTTATAATGAATTGCTGTGCAGAGTTATGGCACGAATGGTCATGAAGAGTCTGTTACATTATTCTACTTTAATAGACAATTAATTGCATATGATGACTGTATAAGAAATTAATTTGCTTCTCATGGAAATCACTAAGAACAACACTAGGTTTTGTCAGATCAAAGTATTATGGTTTGGGGGTTGTCTTTGCCCTCTCCTTACCTTCTCCCCCAGCACCACCGGTGAAGCTGGTAGTGAGAGCTGTTATATCTTCAGTCCTGGTGCATTTTGACTGAGAGATACACCCATTAACTAGCATGGAAATTATAACAAGCCCTTTTCTGCCTAACTGATACAAACTGATATAAGCAGAGAGATATTCTTGTAGACAGTACCACTGCAAATGGATAACATTTTTTTTTTCCACAGAACTATATAGTTCTGAAATTATAAAGATCTCCATAGGTTGTATAGGTCAGCAAGGAAGAAAATCCCTTATTTGTCATGTTTTGGTCTTGATGAAAAGAATCGCTGATCACTGTCTGTATGGTAAAAGTTGTTCATTCATCGTGTCTGAGCACAAATGGAATAATTCTTGAAAATTACACAAAATCATTTTCATGAGCCTTTTTTTTTACCATGGCAGAGTTCAATATTTATATTGATTTGCTTAGGGATACCTATTGCAAAAGATTCTATTTTATAAGCAGTTAGACAGATTGCATTTAATAGGAAGAATGTGTTTCATGGATTAAATATGTGCTCAGAAAATAGGAAACTGCTACTTTTTGTATCTCATAAAAATGGTAATGCAACAATTAGCAGGGTCATATTATAAAGCACAGACTTTACTCTAGCTTAATGGATCTAGGGATATGCATTCATCAGCAACGATGGATTTAGCATAAAACGACATGTAAATGAATTGATGACTGATCATAAATTAATTTTAGTGCTGAAGAAGTAATAGAGACACAGCAAGATGCCACTTTATCATAGTATTTTACTGCTCAGCAACATTTGAGCAACTACTTAATGTTCTGTGTGCATTTCTTTTCCTACAGCTTGAATAAATTTGAGATTTTTTTGTGCCTTTCAGCAATATGGAAACCAAAAAATCTAGAAAGATTGAAAATGCAAACATGAATAAATTTGGTTAAGTGACATAAATTCATTTTTCATTAAATGTTTATGAAGGGCATTAATTATGGTTGGACCTGTGAAGTGCCAAATATCTATGTATGATTTTTACCTCCTTTTGTTTAGTGTTTCTTGCCCCAAAACACAAAATGTGTATATATTTAAATATTTGGGCATTTATGGCAAAGTATAATGTAAAGTATAAGACCAGGTCTAGTTTTTGAAGTGTGATCATATTTATATTCTGTATTCAGCCCTTCTATTATTCTTTCTTATTTTAATGGTATAATGACTATTGCCCCTTTTATTCCATCACTTCCACCAAAATCATAGGACATTCTTTCTTTGTAATCATGACAGTAGTCATCATATATCCAAAAGAGGATAACGTCTTTCTCCTCTAAAGGCTACAGGAATTCTGTAACTGATTTTGACTGAAGTAGCATCGATCCCCAAGGACTTCATCCGTACTTCACAAACCTAAGCAGTCTAGCCCTGTTCAATCAAAAAACCTGCAGAGGAGCAGGGACTTAATATTAGTATCTGCTTAATGGTCTTGTGAAGGAAAGCACGTAAGCATACACATACAAGTCCCAATGACATCATTTGTTAACTTTAAGCGTGCCCATAGAGTTTGGTATGTACCGAAAAATATCTAATGGAATTTTCAAGTGTTAGGTTTGTTGTGAGCAGCTTTTACTTCACAAGTGCATTAGATTTTTTTTTTTTTAAGTAAAGCAAGAGTACACTTTACAAAGAAAAACAGCATTTTTACTGCCTGCAAAATGCCACTAAAAGCAATAGCATGCAGTCTACAAGAAGCTAGCACCTCTATTCCCCTCACCTTTCCCTGAGAGCAAAGAAGCTTTCTGTTTGCATTAGCACCAAGACATATTTTATGGAGCAAGAAAACAGAGTTCAACTTTTCACAGAGTTGATTTTGTTCTGCATAAAGCATTTACTGCTGCTGTCAGCAAGAGTAAAATTTACAGTTGCCAGAAAGCGTAAAAACTCAAATGTGCTCTTGGAAAACACGTAGTGAGCTGCATGTAAAGGAGACACTAAAAGCCTGTTTCATTCCATTTCAAAATGCACAGTTGATCTGAAAGGGACGTCAGCATCTCTTACTCTGTGTTTATTCAGAGAGAAGCACATGTGTGTCTGATTTGGAAAACAAGAGGCCAGTGGATGCCTTTAAACAAGCGGTCACCATGTGTGCTATGTTAACACAGCCGCGTGGTGGCCTGAGGTGCCCAGGCTGGGCTCCAGCAGTCCCATGCTTTCTGGGCAATGTCTGCACCTCTGGAGGGCAAAGCAAGCTGGGGTTTTACTGCTGCAAGTATTGGTGGGGAAAAAATTGTTTATGCAGGGGAACTGAATAGCTCAAGAACCAGTAGAAACAATGCAGAGATTTCACCTTTACCTACCTGGTCACATAGAGCTGTGGGTTCTGTATACGTTTCATGGTAGCTTGCTGACTTCAGCAGTTATAAAGAGTTTAGCCTCTGCTTCCAGCAACCAGAAGTATCGTAGAATCATTGATTCATAGAATGGTTTGAGTTGGAAGAGACCTTTAAAGGTCTTCTAATCCAATACCCCTGCCATGGGCAGGGACATCTTTCACTTCCAATGATGGAGCATGCACAGCTTCTCTGGACAACCTGTTCCAGTGCCTCACCAACCTCATTGTTAAAAATTTCTTCCTTATATCCAATCTAAACCTACCCTCTTTCAGTTTAAAACCGTTGCCCCTTGTCCTGTCACTACAGGCCTTGGTAAAAAGTCTTTCTCCATCTTTCTTGTAAGTCCCCTTTATATATTGAAAGCCTGCAGTAAGGTCTCCCCGGAACCTTCTCCTCTCCAGGTTGAACAACCCCAGCTCTTTCAGCCTTTCTTCACAGGTGAGGTGTTCCATCCCTCTGATCATTTTTGTGGCCCTCCTCTGGACTTGCTCCAACAGGTCCATGTCTGTCTTGTGCTGGGGACCCCAGAACTGGATGCAGTACTCCAGGTGGGGTCATTGTTTGCTTTAGTTGTCAGCTGTGTTGACATCCCAGTAAAGCTCACGTCCCTGCGAGAATTGAGCTATGCTTCCAGCCTGACAGGCGGTCCCTCCTAACACAGCTGCTGGAGGAGAGGGGAAGGGGAAGCAATCCATGGGCAGAGTGCATTATTCCTAGCCTTGCTAATGCCTTCTGTCCATGGGAATGCAGAAGAGTTCAGGAACAGGGCTTTCCTATAGAGTTAGCCTGAAAAATTGGCAGTCTGATAATGGCACTCTACTGGTAATTAAAATTTAGCTATTTTTAGGAAAACCTGGCATGTCTATGAGTGTGTAAAATGATAGGTGTATGCACACACATTGAAGACACCATTATGGGCTTTTGCAGATTTTTAGTGTATTATTTCATACTTAAAACGTGGATGTTTTTTTGGACTGGGTGAACTTCAGTCCTGCCCTTCAAAGAGTGGATGAAAAATAGCAACTGTTCCTAGACATACCCTGAAACCATCCCATCCAAATTATCGTGTGTATTATATGTTGCGTAACAGCTGAGTGACTCGTCAGCAAACAGACAGAGCAATGTGAGCAAATGGAAATTCAATCCTAAGTTCCTTTAAAACGTCCATAGTCTCGTGCCTGTGATACTGAAAATCATACCTATTCTTTACCGTATATGTTTTTATATGTCTCTATGTAAAGAGTAGAATGTATCATACAAAACCCTTGGGCCCTGAAGCTAACAAGACACACGCTACATTTTTAGCACCCAAGTATCATCCTTTGATATCTGTAGGTCTAGTTACATTTTTATGTTTCAGCTCTTGCTTACATATTTTGCAGAATATGTCGATAAGCGATTGTTTGAAAATGTCCTCAGCTATAGCATTTCATTTTCTTACATCTTCATGAAGTGTTTTATCTGTAGTATCTCTTCTCATACATCATCAATAACTGTTGCTAAGCCTTTTTACTCTCCATTCTCTATGATGTCCTATCGCGCTTTGATTGTTAGTTCAGAAATTGTCTTCTCAGAGGAAATTCAGTTTTAGCCTTCCCTTGCTGTTATCTAAGCTTGCTTACATCTGTCTGCAACAGGTCGAGTCTGTTTGGAAAATAACAATTTTATGTGTGCTCTTGGCAAGCAGAATCAAACTCTGTCACTCTCTGCTGCACTTAACACACTTTCTGCCTGTCAGACCTCCATAGACCTCTAAGGTTTCTTTTCTTGTATTTTAGGAGTGCATAGACTTTTGTTATTATAGCCTGCCACTTCGCTGACATTAAAAGGTTTGGTCACTGCAGCATCACAAAATAATCCATTGTTCTTGGGCTTTGTGGTGCAGCGTGCTACTGATTAAACTCCAGTATTCGTTTATTGAACTTACGACTTATTTTTGCAGGATATTTTTAATATTTGACACCACCATTAGTTAATTAGCCTACCAATTTGGTACTAATAAGCAGGTCATTATTGATTTACTAGTTAACAATTCTGAACACAATAATACTTTCTTGGACATGGATTTAAAAAAGTCTTTGAAGAACATGACTTACACTGCTACACATCTTATGTACATTTACATAAATTCAGCTGTACTAACTGAATAGTTAAGTCAGGGCCATGATGTATCTCTCCACATGCGTCTTCATATCTTTGAAAACCAGTTCTCTGCAGATTCTCATGGGTTCACTGGGCTTTTTTTTCGACATACGCATGCCGCTGTTTTTAAAAAGCACATTTCAGGTATTTCAAGATAAGCACCTGTGCTATCTCAGAACAGTAAGCTATGTCTACGCAGCGCCATGCAATGCCATGCAGCAGCTCAGGTCCCAGAAGCAGCCTGGTAGCTCTGCACCTCAGCTGGACTTGGTAACTCATCAGCATGACTGCCCTGTTCCTGGAGCAGAGCTAGGTACTTGGTGCTGGCTAAGTTGCCTTTGCCTCCTGCTCCACCGCACAGTGTAGAATTGCCCTGTGACATTTGCCCATGATTTTTAGAAGTACAGAACACCATCAACTCCATCTGAAGCCACAAAAGAAACAGGATTTCAGTACTTCGAAAAAAATCTGAACGGAGCAATAGCTTTTGAAAATATATTGTACTGTGGTGTTGGGTAGCTGATCTATGCTTCATGCATTGGAAAAAATAAAAGAAAATATTACTGAAGCGCAAATAAGATGAATACTTCTTTCACCATTTTGCTCTTTACATTTTAGTTATGTCAAGATTTCTCTATTTCTTTCATGTGCTTTTTCTGGTATCTGGTTTTCTGACTGCATTTTTATGATGTTATTATCACTTTCCTCTTCTGCAGTGGTGGTAATCCATAGCTAGAAGGTACCATGAGGCCAGCACTGGCTTAGTGACTGACTCAGTGTTAAATTTCAGTATATATTTGCTCTGCTCTTGAATGTTAATTATTTCTAACCTTTGAAAAAAGTAACTTTAATCCACTAGAATGAACTACTTTAGGTCAGCTTTCTTCAGGCCATTAAAATTGCTCATGTATTTTAAGGTTTTGATGGGGAAAATGTAATAATACCTATCTTGTTCAGGATAGCTCTTGAAGCACACGTCAGACTTCAGCTATATCTACCAAGACTTACACTTGTGCTGTCCTAAATTAAGACTTCATTTTGCAAATATCAAACTAGATACTGATAAATAAGTCAAGTAAAAAAAAAAAAATCACATTCATTTCAATCCCAGGGGAAATCTATTAACTTTCAAAAGAATTTATTATGAACCCTTCACATTTGTAGAGAATATGTATCGTTTTGTTTACAGGATCAAAGCAACACGGAGCAAGCTATGAATGAGGTCTCACTTAGCTTTGATAGTGCTCTTTTATACCAAGCTCTGTCAGATAAACTTTGGGTTTCCTGTTGTGAAAGGACATATTAGATGCGTCTTTAAGCTTTAGATGAATATTACTCTTTTGTACCAAGCTCTGTCAAATGAATTCTTTGTTTTCTGTTGAGAAAGGACATATTAGTGGGTCTTTAAGTTTTAGATGATCAAAAAATATCAAATGTACACAACTCACTAGACCCCTACATTTGTTTTTAGGTTCAATGGTAAATGGATGGGGTTCTGCGTCTGATGAGGATCGTAACTTTTCTAGTCATAGATCTAGTGTAGGTAGCTCCTCAGATGACTCGATCTTTACCAGCGGCAGTTTTGCACAAGCACTGGTTGCAGCAGCAGATAAAGCTGGTTTTAGGCTGGATGGAACCAGCCTGACAAGAACAGGTTTGTAGACTCAAAGTTGATGCTTTCTGCATGAAAGGTGTCTCTGCCTATTCTTCTCTTCTTTTCAGTGAACCTGCGTCTCACACGTGTCTAACATGCATGGAATAAAGTGGATGGAGATACTTTTATCAGGATATTTTAAATGAAACCTTGCATTATGTTTCATTTTTAGTGATTTGAAGTAGTGAATAGCACAAGCTTTTAATCTGCACCTTCAGTCTGCTGCAGTTTCCCTCTGTGCTGGCTCTGCTGTAGATTTACTGACATATGCTTCGTTTAATATTTCAGTGAAGAGATCACTAATTCTGCCATGGTCTTTGATGATTTTGTTTTTTGCAAAATCTCCTCACAATCATTCACATTTCCAGTGATGAATATCATGTTTAAACTGTTGTCTCCATCCCTGCTCTTCTGTTGCACCTCTTCTTGCAAAGTATGTTTTTCTGTGAAGTTTTTCTAAGCATGGGGTGAACTGGTGTGCTTTTATTGTTAACAATACAAAGTGTTTAAAAGCCTTATTAATAGCTGATTTAAAAAATACTTAATAAGTTAATATATTTTGATAAAATTTAATTTTAATTATGCTAACTGAATCTGCCAAGTTAAATGTAACAAAGGTAAAGTGACTATTGCTTTTGAAAACAGCCAGTCTTCTAAAGTGAATTAATGAAAAGTAAACATAGTTTAGTTCATATTTTTAAAGCTCCATATGTTTTATTTCTAGCAAAAAAAGATAAGTAAAAATGATTTTTAAATATTCTGGAAAAAAAGAATGTATTTGCACTTGCTTAGTCTTATCAAAATAGCAAAAATAATTAATTATTTAAATCCACAAATGTAATAGCAAAGTATAAACTTGGGTCATATTTTTCTCATGCTTTCTCAGCCGATTCCTGCCCACAGGTCCCATAATGTTAGTATTAGTCTGGTATAAAGTCCGTCCTCCAGTAAAATGCGTGTGTTTCTGAGAGTTGTCTCCACATGTTAGGGCTGAAAACCGCAGGCTCTCTGCATGCAGTGACTTCATGGCAAGCACTGCCTTTTAGGAACCTTGGGAATGAAGAAAGGAATTGATGGCAAAGTCCTATGTCGCCAACAAACTGCAGGGTGAACTGATACAGCTTTTCTGGTTACTGGGACTTTTGCCATTGACTTTGGTCGACATAATAATCATCCTTAAAAGATAGTTATTTCACTGTTAAAAGTAGTTAAAACCCTCACTTGCTTCTTACACTAGTGGAAAATTGACTGAGTAAATCTGTCTCATCATTTGAAAAAAACAAAGCAAAACAAAACAAAAACTGTTGGAGACCTTCACTCATCTACTATAGGCATGTTTGGCCAAACTAGAATTTAAAATATACTGTTTTGCTTGAAGAGCCTCCTAAACAGTCTTGAATGAAAGGAGCAAATCCTTCCCAGCCTTTTTTTTTGTGCTGTTCTTGGCCTAAGTAAAAGCTAATGCAAAGATTCACCCAAGGTTAATGTCACTTGTATCAGGCCATTGAGAAGTACAGTTTCCACCATGAACACAGACATAACAAAAGCAAATGAACACACAAACACATAGACCCTTTTAAATAAATATAATTTCTTACTGTAGCTATGTAAATGGAAAGTACAAGGAAAGGATGAGAGCCCTCTTGTCAGTTATATTTTCCTAGCTTAATTAGGTCACAAATGCACTTAAACTGAGTACTTGCATGTAATTCCTCGGACAGACTATTAGAGTTTAGGGTACAACAAAGTATTCAGTAGTTGTGGTAGAGACTTTATGACTATTACCTTCTTAGTCTCCTAATGATCCAGCAGGCAAAATGGAAACAATGAAACCCACATGTGAACAAACAGCCCTCCCCTCTTCTCCTCACAAAAACCTCAGCAAATGGAAATAAGTCCCCAATGCTTGCTGCAGTGTCGTTATGCTATGATACCTCTCAGGGTACTGTGGATCAATCAGATATGCCTATTATGGACCTGCTGCACCACAGCAAACCCCCCATCGTGCAAAATGGTGTCTTGTAGTGGAGAAACAGCGGTATTATTTCTGTTCATGGCTCTGGAGGGAGTCTGAAGGTCTTGACTGGTTACTTCTTTACAGTCTGGACAGTTATTTTCACCCATTCAGAACAGCTGTGAAATATTTTCACTGACATAAAAGGAAAAGTCCAACTGGATAGCCTCACGTGGGTGTGTTTGATTGCCAAGCATAAGAGGCACCGGTAAATCCAGGTGCAATGGGTCTCTCCTGCCAGACACTTTGACTCCAGTTTCCAGAAGCCATCATGTGATTTGCCACAAAGTTCGGATAGTTTTCCTTTTTAACACCCTTGGGAAATGTAATCAAGAATTAGTGGATTCATCCTTGTCTCCACTTACACACACTAAATCTACTACAGAGAGTCTGACACTGCTCAGCAGTTCTTACTGGAAGGGCTGCATACAAATACAAGAAGCTGTAATCAGTTATTAGGTGCATTGAAAAATTTGTTTTGGGAGCCTGCACATCATTTGTGTTTGCCCCGTGTCTGATTTAGGTCAGTGCAATCTATTTTCCCTCATTTTCATGGAGGGATAAAAGAGAGTGTTTGGTATTTATTTCTTTTTCAAACCAACATTCTGAATGAATAATCACATTTCTTCAGTCAAGAGAATAAGTGTGAAGACTCTTCGTCCTGCACTCACTAGTTGCACTTGCATGTTGTGAGTTCATTTTTGCAGAACATCTGTGCAGTGTGCTGTGAGCTAGGATGGAATTTCAGGCTCATATCTGAATTTCTTTGCATTAGTGGTCTTTTTTTTTTTCTTTAAATGGAATTTTAGTATTTCGTCTGTGTTCATCTGCTTTTTTATCCTTATCTATGAAACAAGGGCTTGATCACTTGTCTTTGTCTGGCTGCAGCTGTGCCAACTCCCCCGAATGCTTATTACTGCTTTCTCCCAGCTCCAGAATTAGCTCCTTGGGTGGGCGTTCTGTAACCCATTTTAGTTAAAATGAGCCAGGTTAGCAAAGGCATACTTGTCTAAGTTCAGCTGGGCTTATTTTGGTAGAGGAGAGTTAGGGAATGTCCACATGAGGGGTTCAAGTGTGGTGACCTCCAATAGCTGGCAGTGACATGCAGCTGGGAGACAAGCCTGCTTAAGAGCAGTGTCCTCCTCAGGCTGCACATCCGTCAGACCAAGCCTGAGACAGTCGGGAAATCTCTGAAGTCAAATACTGAGATGTTATTCTAACATGTATTTATTAATGTGAAACGCCATGTTAGAGAGATGATGGCTACTTTTTCCACTTTGCCCTCTTTGCACTGAGAAAATTTCAAATAGTGCAGTGGGTAGCATATTAGTCCTTATTAGGCTTATCTAGATCAGGTCATATGTAATGGCATGTTGGAAGTAAGCGCATTTGTTGAAAGGTTTTACTAGAAAACATAACTCACAGCAGGGTAAACCCTGATCTAAGTTAACCAGAAGAAAAGAAAGCTCCTTACTAGCTTGGGGTCAGTTGACCAGCAAAGTAACAAACAGCCATTTTGTCACTTTCCATCAACTCTTACACCATTTGGGCCCACAGTAGCACTGAAACAGCAGAACAGCAGAAGTCCTGGCTGGTTTATACATTTTCTACTGCAGATAGAATAAAAACAAGGAAGAATTTTAAGTACCAGTTCTAAATGAATTAAAATGTTAACATCCCCAGGATACTTGGCAAGAATGACATACAGATGAAAAAAAGAAAGTAAAAGACGGTGATCTTTAGTTTTCATCAGTTATTATTAAACAATAAGCCTAGTTAAGTTAACTGAATAAAAATATCAAAATAAGAGGAAGTGAATGTAATAAATGAACAGCGCTCCTACAGTTCCTGCCATGGTGCTTCTAATGATTTGCTCCACAGAACAGCAAAGACATTTTTTTTTAAGAGAAATCACATAGCTTGATTAGTCTATACATATATATAAAAAAATCTGAGGAATAAATTCAATCAGAATACATTATTTTTTAACATATAAAAATAATGAAAATGAAAAGGAAAATTTTAGCATTTAAATATATGCCCATTTTTATTTCTTGAGAAAAGAGAGCCCTTAAGTATACAAACCTACACTGCTACCTAGCTTGCAAAATCAGTTATGTTTATCTCACTGGAGTTACTCCAGATATACAGTGCATATGGGAGCCCCTAAAATGAGAATCTGGCTCGGCAAACATGAAGGTGGAAGGCAGGAGGAGATAAATTTGATATGATTGCAGAACTGTTTTCCTTCCCTTCTCAAGGCTGAGGAGTTGTTATGACACATCTGTTCTGCACACAGGTAGGAGTTACATGGCGTACAGTAGTTTTATCACAACAGATGGAATGATTTTAATTATAAAAGTTAAAGACAAAAGAACGCCAAGTTTCTCACTTCACTTGTTGTGGTGTGTCTTAAAGCAGTTGTCATCAGTAGGTACCTCAAGGGGACACTTTCTTGCCTCTGAGAATTAGACCAGATTTAATGTTTTGGAACAGACATTAATAGAACAGCCCATTTCAAGGCAATAACATTTTGTCATCTGGTTTCTCTTTTTTTTAGGCAAAGCATACCCTTCCTCTCAGCGACCTCGGCCGAGCAGTCCTTTTTCTACTGACAGCAACACCAGTGCAGCTGTCAATCAGAGTCAGAGGCCGAGGCCCACTAAAAAACACAAGGGAGGACGGTTGGACCAACCCTCCTTGCCTCATCGTAGGGAGGGAATAACAGACGGTAAGTGTTGTGGTGTGAAGTCTCTGATGATAACCTGCAACAAGCAGGTGTGCAGAATGGGAGAGCGTAAAGCAATCTCCTAAGGAATACACGTTACAGTGAATTATTTGTTTGGTGAAGTGGTATCCCCAGGTTGCCACATGAGCAATATTGCAATGCTAGCAGTGTGGAGCTTGGTTAAGTGAGTCTTCAAGGAGCTTTTCTTTGTTTCAGCTCCGAACATGTTAGCTTTTCTCAGATCTCAATCCAAAAATGACTGCATTGCACGTGGGTTGTCATTAAAAAAATGGCCTGTGGGTAATTTTAGATAAAATGGAGGTAGCCACCACCAATAGTAGCGGTATGCCGTGAATTCCTAAGGAGAAACATAGAGCCAGTCCCACAATGCCCTGTTTGGTTTGTGCTGGTTTTGACAGCCACCCAACAGCTATAGCAATGCGTGCCACGCTTTTCTCATGATTTTGCCTCATGTCTTGTCTGTGCTGCTTCATTGCTGACATCCACTGACTGCAGTGACTTTGTTTCCCTCTTTGACATTTCCACTGCTTCCCATCTGGAAATTTCAGGCATGTCTGTTCCACTCTTCTAATGACTGAGCTCGGTCTTCCATTATGTTTGTCTACCCCGTCTTGAGTTTGGCAAAAGATGCAATTGCAGCCTGTTACTCCTTGAGGAGGACTGGATGGGAAGGTGGCCGGCTGACTGCCTCCCTCTTCCTTTCTTCTGATCTCTGGCCTGGCCCCTGTAGGTGTTGAAACGATCAGAGGGAGAAGCAGCCAAATAGAAAAACAGTATTAAAAGGAACGACTAAGGATATCTGTAATGCCATGCAGATGGAGACATGATCACTTTCCTCATGCTGACCTCTCTTTCAGTGTTCAAAGTGGGGAAATTCTGAAAGCTAGACTGTCCTACCTGCCTCAGTGGTCCTCATAACTCTATCTGGACCACAGGAGTGGGTGTGATGCCAGTGAGTCTATCTCCTAATCTTAAGTACATCTTGACAAAATCTTCCAGTGTATGGGGAAGGTGTAAAAATAAAAAAAAAAAAAAATTACTTCAGGTTTTAGTATAAACAGCCTCCTTATTCTAGTGAAAATTACTTGAGAATCATAGAATCATAGAATATCTCTGGTTGGAAGGGACCCATAAAGATTGTCAGGTCCAACTCTCTTTAATTCCCTTCTTTGGACAGGTAATGTAATAAATAGATTTGATAGAAAGTATATTTAGTTTGCTTTGTTTATAATGTGCTATTTATTACTCTAGGTACATGTATAAAATACATTAACAGCTTGCAAGGTGGACTGTGGCCACTGAAACCACAAGAGCTCTCCTCTCAGTCATGTTATCAGGTGTACAGGTACAGTTTTGCAGTATGCTCTGACAGATTCCTTGTTTGTCAGACCACAGAGCTGGAGAACAGAAGTGAAAGTCTCCACTGAAGGGGTTATCATTACATCTCATGCTTTATGGTTCATCCTCACTACCACATTGTTTGGGAAAACAGCTTAAAGTAGCTTAGACTCCACTTACATGGGTTTGAATTGGTTTAAACATTAGTGCCCTCCCCTTCTGGATATATTCCAGAGGCCTCCCAGCTACATAGATCCATTAAATAGATGTGTCTATGAGAATAGTAACTGGAAATTGTGGGTTGCTTGCAGTGCTGTCAATACGCTTTTTGTGCATACGTCAAGTCAACCCTTTTGCGTGGCATATCCTGTCACCCTGAACTATGAGCCTTTTGGACCACAAATTCTGTGTACATGTGAGTTTGTACTGCACTCAGTATGGTGGGACCTTAATCCTTCTGCTTTTGAGTACTATTGCTATAGAAATGTTTAATAATAATGCGGGTACAAGAAAATTAATGGGAATCCAGTTCAGATCATGAGACAGATGGAAGTGTGACTCCTCGGGGAGTGACTCCATCATAAAATCTGGCATTGTTTTAAATTAGTGAAAGAGATCAGATTTTAATATTTATTTGAAGAAAGAGGAATCTTTATTGTCTTTTATTTATTCTTTATAAAATACTAATCTTACTGGAATTTCTTTCCTTAGAGTCAGAATACCAATGATACACTATTTCCTTCAACAATCCACCTCTCAGACACAGGCAGTAACCCTAACAGCTTTTGAACACTGTTAGCTTAACATTAGTCTGTTATAAACCTAGTTAAAGTGCTTACTATATGTTCCAAAAATGTATAATGTCCTGGAGTAATAGATGATCCTTTCCCATCTTCTCTTACCACAGGAACAAACAAACACAAATGGTACAGTTTTTCCACTTCAACTCTTACTGAATATATGAGTCATTAAAGTGTAACGGCAAGTTTGAGTCATAGCTAAATTTGCAAAAGAACATTTGTCCATTAAGGAAGCTAAAGATTGCTGCTGCCACCTGTGTGTACATAAACAAACTGAATTTAGGAACCTCTGGTATACAGAAATTAAAAACAGTAACTGCACGCTTTGTGTGGAATATTGCAATGAACTTTACAAAGAGAGACAATACCACTATGCTTAAGCTATGGTTAGAAAAAGCAAGTAGGAGAACCTGGGATAGATCTAGCAATTCTGAGCCCTAATCCAGGTCAGTCTCTTCAGCCCTGGGCCATCCCGATTTCGGTGGGAAGCATCATTATACATTTTTTTCCTGGTTTTGAGATGTCTCTAATCCATTCCCTTACAACTCCTTCCTCTTGGATTTGTCATATGAGAACATACTTCCTTTGTCAGTTGTCTTCAAACACCCAAGCTGGATGAGTCCTAGCATCCTGTGTTTAAGTCTCATCACATACTGGATATCTGTCATTTTAAATTTTAGTTGACCAAATAAGCTCTAGCCATGTCCTTTCTCTGCCCTTTCCAGTACACTTCCTGAGCACTTCCTGCTTGTTAACTGTAACCACGTGGGATGCTGCAAAAGACCAAGGGAACTGTAATATTTAACACGTAGCACACTGATCCCCAGCTTCATAAGCATATAAGGGTACAACTTCATACTTACTTTTGACAGCAGTCCACATAAATCCCCTAAAAGCCTGCTTCTTCATTTTCTTCGGTCTCAGGTCAGAATCCTCTAGAGACTGACTCCTGATTGAGTCTTCATATTTATCTTCCTGCACAACTTGACTTTTAACTTTCCCATCCTAAAAGACCATGAAGACAACAGCAAATCCACAGAGGAAGAATACCTTATGAATCCCTCAAATGATGAAAAAGCTTCATTCTGAGCTCCGAGTCCACCATAAAAAACAAATAGGAGGTTTTTAGTTCTAGTGCTCAAGGAATAATTTGTTTTCTTGGAAACAAAGAATGAATTATTATGTATTAATGAATTAATGAATGAATTATATGTATTAATGAATTGCAGAACAGTGGAATCTGGCATATAGGTAGTGGCATAGCAACTGCATGACTGAATTTAAAAGCTCTTCCTTAGTTGAGCATGATGTTTAAAAAACCCAAAGAGGAGGCAGGAGGAAAATAGGGGTTAAAAAGGAGAACTGGAACTTAGGATTTCTATTAGCTTTGCTACTGACTTGCTATCGTGTATTACAAATCGATTTTTGCTGAGGTAGATCACCGTAGAGGAGATGCTTACCTTCTGATGCTAGAAAGTGGTTCAGAAGCTTATTAACTGTCGCAGTAATTATCACCCCTAGGAAAATGCATCGCTGGCACAGATGGAAAGGGATGTCCTTATACTTGTTGGTTCTGTAGCTTGCTGCTTTTTCCGGTTAATAATGAGAGGCTGTGCCAAAGCTTGACTGGTGCCTGAATCATTCGGCCAATGCTCTGCCTTCTAAAGGAGGGCTGAAGTAATCCCAGGCCAAACATCCATCTGCCTCTTATCAGGCACTCTGATGTCCTACAGCTTCTCAATCACAATCTCTCCATTACTAAATCAATAAGACCATCACCTCCCCACCAATGCACTTACAAATTGCCTTGCAAGTTTGATAATTCTGCCGTTAAAGGCAGCAAGTGGTAGTCTGGATGACATCCCACTGGCCTAGTAAGTTACTAGCTCAGTGTGGGTGTTTTACCTGGCACCTGGAAGATAAATGTCATTTAGATGGAAGTACAGTGATAATCAGTGATACTGCTCTGGGTATCCTCACTGAAAAT